TGTAACAACTAAAGCACTGTAACCATGGATGGGTCAGATTTTATGAGCAATTCGATATGCGACCGACGCGGAGTGAATGGAGACTTGATGTGCAGCTCTGAGGCCGATTCGGAAGCTTCCTTATTTTTGAAAAACGATGTTCAATAACACCTGCTACGTTCAGCTAAAATTCCCTAATGATTTGCTCCAAATACTAGATAGAAAAATATTTTTTACAAAGTAGAATTGTTATTTTTTCTATTATAGCAATTATAGCATGGTTTATTGAATAGGTTGCTATTAATATGACTCACCAAGACACAGGCTTTAATCAACGTATCACCCCTGTTTCCCTGACCTTCGCTTAGTCACGTGACATTTCGATTGTGCGGTTTCATGCATTTTTTATTGGTAATCGGCGTTATTGAGCTTTTCCTAGTAATTGCCCGAGTCGTAGAACTTTTCCACCTCTATTCTAAAAGCGTGTATGACAAAACGATAGATTACCAAGACCCCTCAGGGCAGTGTCGTAGGTCGACTTTTCTATTTAACTATTCTTTCATGGCAAAACAACTGTTGCCTTCTCCTACCAGTTTCTTAGCTTCAGTTTCTCGCAAAAGGGTAATCTTATCTCAATGTTGGAAAATTACTAAAAATTTAAAGGGACATAATCCGCGTAAATTGGTGCAATATTGTCTGCTCTAGGTAGTAAAACAATCATGATTACTTAGGTAAAACGATTTTCTGTAACATTTTTTTCGATACTATCGAAATTACTTGCATGCTTCAGCCCACAGCGAAATGAGTACCGATTGCTTTATAATAGATAATGACTGAAATTTTAATGGCGGCGTGTGTCTGCTGCTGAAAAACCGTCGTCGGTTAATGTACTCAATGTTAATTATTCAATACTGATATTATTTGTGAGCGAATGTGATTTGACGACAAAATTGCGATAGCCGGTTTTAGTGCTTTTTTCGAATTCTACTTTTCTGGGTCTGGATGTGGCTCTACTGTCATGTGGAAAGTTAAAACTCTGGAGTTTCGCTTTGTCTATGCTATGCCACCACACCATAGGCGTCTGTTTNTTGATAACCCAAGAGCCCGATTTGACATGCTTACTTTCAATTCCACTTCGAGTCCTTACTAAACTGGCAAAAAAGTATCAACATCTCTACAATAGGGCTTCTGAGATCACAAAAACAGGATGACTAAAAAACACGAGAATTCAATTTGTAATAATAAAATTGTGATCAAGATCTCTCCGGTGATAAACAAGGTTCGGTTCAATTTAGATCTGGATGTTTTAAAGGGAATTTCCCCTTGTTGAAAACTTCCGTGATCTAGTAAATAAAATAAGTACAACACATCTTTAGATAGCTCAATCCTGAACAAAAGAGGAAGATTTTTAATATAATGATATTTATTTTCAATATCGAGTTAAGTGGGGCCTTTTCAAATTGTTATTTTTTCACCAGTTATTATTAGATTTAAGAGGTCATTGCCAATGCAATATACTTAGCAAAATATGAAACGAAGTCTAATTTTAGAGTATTTGTTTTTGTAAGCGAATAAACATCAACCTGCCTCGGTTTCAGATGACATGTTTAAAATTATCGAATGACAAGTTATTTCGATCGATTTGTAATTCTGATAAGTTAATCGATTCGAACACGAACGTGGCAATTCGAATCAGTAATTAGCTCATTTTTCATTTTAATGTTTTACAATGTAGTTACTAACTTATTTTGATTCTGAATTTTCGTTACCTTCAATAATAAAGTTTATGTCCGCAGCTGTATATTGGTCTTTTCTCATTTTATTTCCTTTCTAACGCATGTTTTCAGACCTAGCGCTTTCGTCGATGCCATGCAATATACCATTAAGCAAGTAGGAAACAATTTGTCTTATACCTAAATGAATCTAGGAAACAACTTGTCCTATACCTAAGATAATCTAGGAAACTTGTAATACCTTGTAGCTTGTACCTTGTTGTAGTAGGTACTGAAATTATGGTTGTCCAGAACACGTCCGTCTGTTGCTCACGCCACACAAGCCAGTTTTGAAGTAATTTGAGGTCATTTCCTTCCATTTAACGCAATGCAAATTGTATTTCTATGGACTTTCATTCAAGCGGAAGCCTATGGAAATATTCCCACGTGAATTTATTGGCGAAAAAATAAAAAGAAACTGCGACGGCAATCACTATAAGTAGGTACCTACTTAGTCCCATAAAATGTCCAGGCAAGCTTCTAAGCTACACTGAGAAACTTGTGGTCCTGCGCCATCGTACGGAACCCAGAGGCGGAAATAAGGAATGAGTGCGAGATAAAAACCAAGATAGAGTAACTAACAAAGAAAAGGGTGTGGCTCTACATTTACTAACCGATAAAACGGTAAGAATTAGGGAAAAATTATAAGGTTTTCAAAGTAAAGGTATGCTTTAAACCTTGACCCAACCAATGCTTTCCATAGACTCTAGCATCAATTACATTGTTGCTTGAGAAAATTATTGGATCGAATGTGTAGGAAAGGGCATAATGTAGGTAACACCAATTTACAGTCAAGGGTGCTGCGGTCCCTGTCGACCGTGACATCATTACCATGATAGCTATGTAGGAGTTGGTCTATCTGACATGATGGATGGTTTTAAGTTATAATAATACATTTTTGTAAACTGCCATAGAACATCAAGGATTTGATTAAGTCCCAAAAAGAATAATAAAGTAAAAGCAAACCAGCATGACAATGTGTGGAAACGTATAGTCTAGAAGCAACACACACAACACCATTGAAAGATCAACTATCAAGTATCTTTTTCTTCTTATATCTCGTGCGCTGTAACAACTAAAGCACTGTAACCATGGATGGGTCAGATTTTATGAGCAATTCGATATGCGACGACGCGGAGTGAATGGAGACTTCATGTGCAGTTCTGAGGCCGATTCAGAAGCTTCCTTATTTTTGAAAATCGATTTTCAATAACACCTGCTACTTTCTAGCTAAAATCCCCTGGTCATAATCATCATCATTTCAGCCATAGGAAGTCCACTGCTGAACATAGGCCTCCCCTAATGATTTTACAATGGCCGGTTGGTGGCGGTAATGAGCTAATGATTTGTTCCAAATCTCTCGAAACACCAGAACCAGGTTTTTTACAAAGTACAATTGGTATTTTTTCCATTAATAGCAAACATCATGGATTATTGAATAGGTTGCTATTAATATGAGTCACCTCAGACACAGGCTATAATCAACGTATCACCCCTGTTTCCCTGACCTTCGCTTAGTCACGTGACATTTCGATTGTGCGGTTTCATGCATTTTTTATTGGTAATCGGCGTTATTGAGCTTTTCCTAGTAATTGCCCGAGTCGTAGAACATTTCCACCTCTATTCTAAAAGCGTGTATGACAAAATATAGATTACCGAGACTCCTCAGGGCAGTGTCGTAGGTCGACTTTTCTATTTAACTATTCTTTCATGGCAAAACAACTGTTGCCTTCTCCTACCAGTCTCTTAGCTTCAGTTTCTCGTAAAAGGGTAATCTTATCTCAATGTTGGAAAATTACTGAAAATTTAAAGAGACATAATCCGCGTAAATTGGTGCAATATTGTCTGCTCTAGGTAGTAAAACAATCATGATTACTTAGGTAAAACGATTTTCTGTAACATTTTTTTCGATACTAAATTACTTGCATGCTTCAGCCCACAGCGAAATGAGTACCGATTGCTTTATAGATAATGACTGAAATTTTAATGGCGGCGTGTGTCTGCTGCTGAAAAGCCTTCGTCGGTTAATGTATGCATGTAATTATTGTTAATTATTCAGTATGATATTATTTGTGAGCGAATGTGATTTGACGACAAAATTGCGATAGTAGGTTTTAGCGCTTTTCTCGAATCTGGGGGCACGGCAGTGCCCCCACCAAGTCGAGCAAAAAAGCGGCACTGCCGTACCATCCTTTTCTCGAAGCAATTCAGGCCATTTTCGACCGCCTGTAACTTCGTTGTGGATAAAACTAGAAGGCTGAATTTTCATTAGCTATGCAGGCATTGTAAAGACACGGTATATTTAAAATTTCATTCAATTTGAACCAGTAGTTTAAGAATTATAACGGGTCAAACTTACTTAATTTTGTCACTCACTGACTCACTGACTGACTGACTCACCGATGATCAAAATTCTAAGGCACTTCTAGCAGACCTAGAAGCTTCAAATTTGGAATATAAGTAGTGTTTGGTGTATGAATCAACTTAACAATTTTACATNGTCTATGCCACCACCACACCATAGGCATCTGTTTTATTGCTCGATTGTTCCGAAGGTGCTTGTTGCCGACCGCGAATGTTTATAAACCAAGTTGATTCTACTCTGAAAAATTTTCAGTCGTCATAAAAATATTCAGACGCAGACTGCAAATTAAGCAACAAAAAATGTTTTTCATAGAAACCTGAAGGTTCCTAAGATATACTTCTCATTGCGTTTTATTTTCAACTAGCTTTCCGCCCGCGGCTTCGCCCGCGTGGAATTTTGTCTGTCACAGAAAAACATTATCGCGCGCGTCCCTGTTTCAAAAACCGGGATAAAAACTATCCTATGTTCTTTCCCGGGACTCAAACTATCTCTATGCCAAATTTCATCAAAATCGGTTGCGAGGTTTAAGCGGGAAAGCGTAACAGACAGACAGACAGACAGACAGAGTTACTTTCGCATTTATAATATTAGTTGGGATTTCAGATGGTCCTTCTAAGTATTCAGTTCGGCAGTTATTCGACAGCGAGATCAATTGAAAACAATTAACTGGAAATCGCCGATAGAATGCTGCGGTGACACGAATTAAATGGAACAGGCGCCTCTCTGACAAATATTAAAATTATTTTCTTATCGATTCAAAAGCATTTCTAATATTAATTTATTCCAAAAAATGCGGTCAACGGTATGCGAATGTTCTACATAATTTGTGCAGAATTGCATTAGTTCGCGATTCGTAAACATAAACAAATCGTTAGAATACTCACTGCGTCTCGATGAGCTCGCAGTTGAGCAGCAGCTTCCCAGGGCCGAGCTCCACCACGGCGACAGTCTGGTCGTGGTGGTAGATCATGCGCAGCGTGTCGTTGGCCACGCGCCGGCCCGTGTAGGGCTTGACGCCGGCGGTGGGCTCGCGGCGCTCGGCGGCGTCGGAGCGCGCGCCCGCGCCGCCCACCAGCCCCGCCAGCGACCAGCCCGCCGGGAAGCTGAAGGCGAAGGGCTTGGCCGACGCCGCCGGCGGGGAAGACACGGCGATGCACAGGATCACCAGCACCGAGATGAAGGACTTGAGCAGGCCGTCGGCCAGGGGCGCGCCGCGGGTGAGCGCGGCCCGCGCCGAGCGCACGGCGCTCAGGAGCCGCCGGAAGGACATGTTAGCGCTCGTCCATGCCAGGCGTGCGTCGCGCGCGGCGCTGCGTCGGCCACTGCGGCGGCGGCGGCGCTGGCGGCCACTTTCTTCGCCGTGACGTCACCGCGGTCAGTGTCGCGTTTCACTCGTGTGCTCCCGGCTTGCACTTCCGGACGGTGGATGCAGCGCCCGCGCGGGAAACTGCTCGCACTAGCTTTTCTGATAACAGCTTTTTTTTTCTTTTTTAATACGGCTTGCGTAAGCGAAGCCAGTGTCATCTTAAAATAACAGACCTTGTACTTATTGAATAAGGCAACTCGCAATGCACATGGTCAACTATTTGAATTTTTAAACAAGTATAGATAGGATTGATGGTAAGAAAGACAACGCATTGCGGATTGCCCTGCAGCTAAGTAAAGCTCTAAAACTTAGTTAAGTAGTAACCTCACCGCGCGGTACGGCCGCGGGTAAAGATAACATTTCAAATTATACCTACTACTTTGAAATTAAAATTTGCTCAACATGCAATATTAGCAATTACGCCCTTGGGCATAGTTATTTCTTGGTAGAAATATTACTTTCCCAAATGGACGAACATTGACAAGTAATTTAACAATTTAACTTGAATTTAGCGCCACCCAAGCATCCATCTCTCTAGTGCACAGCTTTTAGACAGTTAGTAGTTAAGCACGTGGCGCTACTGACTTACCTAGATGAGCTGGGTGGAATTCACACGCGTTAATTCTCAGTGTCAGACCAATTTGATGAGGATCCATGTATTTCCGTATACACGGTCACGTGACTGCCTAAACAATCGACGGGCGTTCCGCTCAACCAGTCTCCCTAGGGTTGCCTTTACCCTTCTTCCTCTACTACTAATGAAAAACCAAGTATTTCTCTGGGAACCAGTCTCAGATGGGCAAATTAAATTTTACTTATCACCTACGTCCATATTTGCCATGTAGAGTAATTTGCGTTTGAGTTTAACGATTAAAATTAATTAAGACCGGTATTAGAACAAGTTTGCCGACTGATTAATCGATTTTTAAGATTCCCATTTATCACAGCGTTTTAAAATTTGGTCACAACTTAGTCAACATTAAAGTATCAAGACGAAAGAAGGCACATGCGAAATCTAAAATGTATTTTTAGATTTTGTCACTCGGACGATAATGTCCAATCAAACGACACCAACCAAGATAGTTGAGGTCACAATTAATAAAACATCAAGATACTTTCTGCAGCATACTTTCCTTTCTGCAGTCGAGTAAAGGGTTGGTAAAAACGACATCCCTAAGCGTAGGTTAGGTCAGAACCTCACGCCACACTCGAATGTAAGGCACTGGGGCTTCACTCCTTACATAACCGCCGACGTCACCAATTAGCAACCTTGCACTCGTCATATTGTTTTACTTCCTTGATTTACCTGGCCTTTGACAAAACATAAACTGGGTTGGAATACGTTGAAAAAACTGATTTAGAATTCTAACCCTGAGGCCCCCTGAGGGGTGGCAAAATGCCATAAACAGTGAGTTTGGACTTGGGACTCTATCTCTGGAGGGGTAACAAAAATTCCAAAAACATCACTCCCGTCCTTTCTGACTAAATTGACACGAGAGATAATCGAATTCGGGACGGAAAACATGTACTGAAACACATTCCACTCTGACATAGACCCTGTCGTATGAGATTGCTTTTTCTTTTCTCACTGACTCATCAACACTCAGCATAAACCCTTGGGGACCTAGAAAGCTATGAGAATGATTTCCTTTCTTTTCTAGATTTCGCTCAAACATCAAGAAACAAAAAAGCACTAGTAATTAAAAGGCAGCCCGAATGCATTGGATTGTTACTATTCGTAACACACCGCGTCACGTACATGATTTGCATGCCAGTGTTTACGTAAGGGGGGAAATCCGGTGTGCGCGCAATCCGCTCTTTTTCGCGGTTCCGACTTGGCTGTGTTTTGTTTATTTCAGACCGCCAAGAATGGGGCTGTTCCCATGCTTTATTTCCACCACTACAACTCTGTGGAGCCAAGATCCAGGTTCTAGACCGATGAAAATAACCTCGTGGTTATGTTAGGTCCGAAGAAAGTAAAATTAATAACTGAAGCATAAATCAATGATCTCATGTAATGATCATACGACCAATGGTAATCTGAGTCAGAGGATTATTTCGGTTGCCTCCATAGCCAGCAGCCAAGTTATAGCTGTGGATCTTGGTATGGAAGTTACAGTGATGGAAACGACAATTCAGGGAAAACGAAATATAGGACTTTCGTAGATAGTAAAAAATCTCAACACTAAACCACGAAGGCTGTCATTGGATGACCAAATCATCATGACCTAATGCAGTCGGTAAACAGACAAAATTCACAAACAAATAACGCATTGTCCAAATGCAAACAATAATATCTCTACCACTGGTAGAGATATCCGATGCTGAATATCATTTAGCCTATTGTTTTAATTGTTTCTAAGATTTAATCATAAGAGAGTGCACGAACGTGTAAAACTATTTTTATTTGGTTTGCTTTATGCTTTCACGATTTCTATCTAGACTCCTTAGATTACTTTCCAATTTCTTTTTCCTATTCCATATTATCACAAAATAAAACTGCACGGAGTTTTGATTAATTCAATATAATTGTACAATGTGTTCATTATAATTTGTAATTATGATGACGACGTTAATTAATTGTTGATTTTACGCGGATTGTCTGGTGAGTGATTATTTCTGCAAAACAGCCTGTTTTAAACAGCGGCATTTACATTTTTATCCGACTCTACATCCCAAAAAAATAAGAAAGTTTGTATGTTGGATGTGTTTGAGTGATTGCCTACCACTTTGCCAAGCCTTTCCGGCTACGGCGTAGTGATTGAATGAAACATGAACCTTGCTTGCTTGTCTAGCAATGGAAGCTGAAAGGCTCGTCAAGTCTAAGAAATCTCACATACACTCAATCTCTTTCAGTTGCATTAATATAGCCTTCTGTATCTTATTATTCTATGTACTTATTATAGGTATCTATAGTCCGATTTTTAATTCAGATGTAATAAGCCTTTTTTCTTTGAATTATTAATAAATAATATGAAATGAAATTTCATCAAGTACAACTTACAAGAATGAATTATTGTTTGTTGTGTCAATTCAATGTACACTAATTATTATGTACATTTTAGAGTTTAAATAGAAAAAAACGTGTTTTTAACACAGTAAAACAACATATTATCATTAACAAAAATATGTATTGATCATCAATCATCATTATCGTCGTCATAATCAACTTGGATTATAAAATGTGGCATCTTGTTAAATTGGTTATTTTATGAACCTAAGATTTTATTAACAAAAGGATTTTCATAAAAAAGGTTTGTAACCCATGGATTATTGGCCAGGGAGTCCAGTAATAGAAAAATAATTTCCCAATTATTTTTGTAACTTCAAAAATATGATAATAAAAATTCAAATAACCATTTTGAAATGATCAGTACATTTTTAAGCCTTAGTTTTTTAAGTGAAACCTTAAATTCAAGAAAGGATTATTTTTTAATTTGTGAAAATGCTCTCCATTCATAATGGGAATGTTTCAATGTTGACAACACTTCTGAAATGTCAAAATTCCGTAGAATTAAAAATCAGAGTTTATGTATTTTTATTGTTTGTTTTTTGTTTAAATGTTGGTTTTAACCGATGGATGGCACGTCTGCGGTGCCACCACACTTGCGAACCCAAATTGTTAGCTAAATTCTGGTAATACACAATATGGACTGCATGGTAAATATGAAAATCTCGAGGATGCAGCGACGAAGTATAATAAGAAATAGTTAAATAAAGTTGAACCCTATCTTGTTTATAAATAAAATGCAAACCTTCACAAAGAGTCAACGTTTAATAGTACTTGTACCCACGCGAGTGCCCCTAAAGGCTCGACCAGTAGTGGCAGTCGGTCGTCCAACACCACCCCCAGCATTTGCCCGTTGACCAGCGCTGGACCGCCCACGCCCAACTGCGATCATAGTGGTGGTATTAATCTTTTTATGGCAGTTTTCCACACTTGTCAAACGTATTTGTTGAGACGGTGGACTTTAAAACGGTAGTGAGACATGTAAAGGCCTTACGCCTGTATTCACAAACATCACCGTGAGGTCTCACAGTGCGCGTGGACGCAGAGGATAACACATGAACCAATCACAGAGCTCTATTCAACGCTGTGCGTTCGATTTGCTGCTTTACTTAAGCATGCATCGAGTGTGTTCCATATCCCAGAGTAACTTAAGGTTGTTTGTGACGTCACGCGTCACAACATAATGATATGTTTAGTGAGTCCTATTGCAATGGTCTTCGCGATAGAGATAAGTGGCACTGTGCAGCACTGTTCGTTCATTTTGAAACAGTGCTAATGTGTCGTTTTGCGTAGATAACAGTTTAATCTTCTCTGTTAAATAACAATAATAACACTGTTTAAAATCCCTAATTCACAATGAAAACAATAATCTTAACATACCTTGGTAGCATTAGACGTGACTGGCACAGCAGGACTGAAGCACAGAGCCGTTGGTGACGTCACCTCACCGTCTCGGGATCGGCACCGACTCGAGCTCGTCTTCTTGACCGGGAGGGAAATGGGGAGCATCGCGTCGTGGCTTGGCTCATTCTGGGAACAAGTTACTTAATCATTGTCGTGAAACAAGAACATGTTCTTACCTGCCTGTCAAAATAAAGCCAGCGGAAGAAAAATATACATAAGTGAATTCAGAAGATATCGAATTAAGTATTAATTGCATGCGAAATTTCAATATTGTTTGTGCAAATAACAATTAAAAATTTACGTCTGCCGAGGAAGGAAGGAGGAAGTCGGTTCCGAAAAATATTCTATCAATACAGAGCACACCTAAAAGTTTTGTTGTGCCCACCGAATTTTAAAGATCTTCAAATAGAACTTACTGTAGCTAAGGTCCATCCATAGACCACAGCATCCGAAACATTTCCATCATTCAGTATCCTCATCTTCATAACTGCTAGTCCTGGACTGATTCTCATCATGGCCAAACGTGGATTGAAGGAAGCAGAGGTCTCGCCATTTTTATGGTGTTTAGATGAAGGTTGGAGAAGGATGTCGGTGACGTTGTGGATAGACCCATCTATGAGGGGGTCCGTGGACCCTGCCACTATTGTGTAGCGGCTCCTTTCTTTGCTGTTAGCACTGAAATAGATTATTTGAATTAAACATTTACTATAAGGACCATCAATATTCCGTCACACGTTAACGAGGAGGGAAGGGGTCGACGAAGTGTGACATTGTGTCACAACGGGGTGGGAAAGGTCGAAAATTTCGAGACGTCACATTTCAAAAACTATGAAATTCGTGTGACGCGATATATGGATGTCCCCTTACATCGAGTATAAACGGTATTAACTTAGGCACAAAAAAGTAAATAAAATGCGAATATTACTATGCGAATAGTTCTACAATTGAGCACAAGCCCGCATGTAAAGTGCTATCGCCTATCACTCTTCAATGACAGATTACTGCAACCTCGCGATTGCGAAATCAGCAACCTAATGCAATGGTCACACATAGTCTTTGTGACATAGAACACTTGGGGACGGTCTATTCTCAAACGACGCCAAAATAATAAACTCTAACCTGTGATTGGTCAAACTTTAAAAAGCAAGGTTAACCTATTTCAGTTAACTTCTTCACTCCTCGGATGTAAAATACTCGAGTGCCGTTTGAACTTATAACGTAAATATTAAACTAAGAAAGTTTGGACTCACCCATTTCCATCCAACTCGTTCAAGACGCCGACGCAGGTTGCAGCGGTAACCACCCAGTGCGCGGACAACAAACTACCCGCGCAAGTCTGCGCAGTGACGTTTGACAGCGTTTCAAATATGGAGACCAAAAATGGCGGACTTTTCGGACGAATACTTTTCGAATGGCTTCTATTTTCTTTTATCATGGGTTCATTAATATTGTCTTTTTCATTTGTAAGGATATTTTTTTCGAAGTACTGTTGTATATTTTCGAGCGAATTCTCATCTGAATCTGGTATAGAGTTATCAAAAATTGTATCAACATGTTCGTTCGGAGTTTCTTTGGTTTTAAATAGTTTCCAATTGGAATTATTTTTTCTCATTTCCAGATAAGCTTTTTGGAGAACAGAATCGGCAAGATTCGGATTGCATTCTTGTATGGTGTGATGGGGGTCAGTGGGCAACTTTGGTAGAGTTTCTTGCAATGTTTTGTTCAATTTCAAAGGCGATTCTGTAAAAAGAGAAAACAAGCGGTAGGTACGCTCAACATTAGCGCCTTAGGTCTCTAGAGAAGCTACGACAATGACACAGTGTTACTGGTAATACTTGCCCTATACAATAATGACACAATACTTCAGGAAGGCATACCTACTTAAAAATTGTCCACTAACCTGGAATCGCTTCGAGTAAGAAAATCAACACAACAGTTCTCGCCATGTCGCCGCGTCGAGCGTCGGCTTACACAATGCGTGTTTACTGCAGTTGAGTCTGCGCATACTTACGCACACAATGGTGTGGTAAACCATGGTTTTCAAGTTCAAATTATTGGGAAAGACGTCCGATAAAGGCCTTGGATATCGATTGAATTAGCGCTGAAAACTCGTACGCTTAAAATATTAGAAAAATCGTAGGAGTTAGGTAACGTACCATCGTTTATTTAGGATTTGGGTGAACTAGTTTCATAAGCAAAAATCCGAGTACCCTCGAATTTAGATCTAGAAATGGCCGAAAAAAAATCTTTGTGTGTAGTCAGTTCAAATATTATAATTTTAGTAAGAAATTCACAACTTTGTACAAAAAAGCATTATTTTACAATAAAATAACATTAAAAATATATTTTCACAGGTTTACAGCGTATGTACACAGGATTTTAACTTAATCCATCTATTTCTATCTCTTTGGCCTCGAGTGGGATCATGTAGAACTTTAAAAAGTATGTTCTCGATTCCGTAAGATGATGAAAAAAGAGAAACAGATAAAACGGTTATAACTAATTTAACTGTAAACGGTATGTACTGCTATTTACAAAAATGTAAATATAACTATTTTTAACATAGAGATAAAAATATTTCTTTTTCAGATTTAGTAACTTCATAAAATGTGATAAACATTGATTTATATTATTTTTGCAATATGAAGACTACGGATATTATTTTTAATTTTAAAACTTCATAATAATTTGCTATTAAGTTAGTAATACAACAATCAACCAACAAGTATTTTTAAAGTCTTGTGCTTAAATTAACGTCTATGTAGGTACAGCCAGCGTCAAATAATTTGTGACATCCTAAGTAGCCAAAAAGTTCGCAACACGTCTTTGTTACAATGAGGGCTATCGTTTTTATACTTAACAGTTGGCACTCCTGGCCTTAGGACCTTACTCTACAGTGGCGCCATCTTGATGAGTGCAAATGCGATAGTCCTCCTACCACTTTCGCGCTCACCAGTTGGTGCCACTGTCTTCGCTACTAGCAAGTGACAGGACCTTACTCTACAGTGGCGCTAACTGGTGAGCGCTAAAACGATAGCCCTCATTGGAATAAGGTTGCTGTGTAGTCAACTTTTTGGCCACTTGGCTGTCACAGAAGGCGGCACACAAAGCTAAACTCAGTGCCATCTTATTTTGTATAATATTATAGTGTAGGCAGGCCCCCCAAGGGTGGACCAACAATGATCTGGTGAAGGTCGCGGGAAGTTCCTGGATGCGGGCAGCGCCGGACCGGTCGTTATAGAAATCCTTGGGGGAAGCCTTTGTCCAGCAGTGGACGTCATTTGGCTGAAACGTGGTACGATTTTACAACAAAAGAGTGATGGGCCGTCGACTATACTTCATCTTCCACATATACATAAAAATATGTGCATACTTAAAGGCATGATAAAATTATTGGATTAGTGAAATTCGCACTTAAATCGAAACGAATCTCACACCGTCTAGTATTATTACTGAAATGTCGAACTCGTAAGCCGTCTCCGATCTTAGAAAAAGGAATATACTTAAAAATAGTAATATCACTATAAATGCACAATTTCATGTCGAAGGGAAGACTAGCGGTAAACAAAAATAAGTTAATAAGCTAAATTATTTTACGTAACGTTCGTATGTTTCTGCCGACGGAATAAAATTGAGAGATTAGAGTAAATACAAATATTTTATGTCGTTATAATCAATATCATGTGTCAATTGTCAATTAAAGCGCCATCTTTGATGACTAAGGAATTTTGTGACATCTGCATTCATGTGTATTTATGTCATTAATTGTTTGTTATATCCAAAATTAGAAGAGATCTTGTTAAAAAAAGGTAACCAAATTATCTAACAAAATTACATTTACATCCAAGTTACCTTACAACCATAGTCAGAGTCTTCACACAAACGTTAAAGAATCTCGATTAACTCATTGTGATCATTCATCAGCGCGAGTGAACTGAGGCACAGCGCCATCTATGATTTCAGAATGAAACTAACTCACAAGCTCAGTAGCTCCAGTGGTCATCTCTGAGGTCTTGCCTGGTGTTGCTGGGCACATGTCCCTGTATGAAGGGCAGGCCGGTCCCGACTTTGGTCTGGTACTCCGCGTATTGAGGCCCGAAGAATGCGAGTAGAGTCAGCTCCTCGGCGAAGACTCGCTCGCGGAAGAAAGTCCAGGATGCAAGAGCGTACACGACGAAGCAGAACGGGTTTAGGAGGGTTATCTGGAATAAGAAACGTAGTTTTATACTCGCTCTACTCATAAATATAGCTAGAAAGAGTAAAGATGTCGTGTGATAGTCAACTTCTTCTGTTATGTATTGCAGACGCAAATCTTTTGTCTCCTGTTTTAGGTTCAATTTTTCAAAGTACAAACATCTAATACAACCATGACAATAAGCAAGAGTTTTCTGACCTGTGTCTATGGCGTTAAGCAAAAAATAGAAGAAGGATCTGGACTAATAGAAAATCAGTCACTAAATATGAGCCGAAAATACTCGACACAAAAACCTGTAAGTTTTATATCACCAGGTTGGTCCTTCGAGCCGGATCTTATCAACATCGTGTAACAAGAGATGCAGCAGTGAAATTGTACCTGTGTGCCAATGGACCATGCAGCAGTGAAAGTGTGTCAATAGACCAGTAGAACCAACAGACGCGACATAGCAAGGGTTCAAGGATTGAGCAGTAAATACTTTTTATCTATCTATTTATTTAATAGACCTACCTGCGTGCCAATAGACCAGTAGAACCAGCCGACGTAGCTGGGGTGCCGGCAGATGGCGTACACGCCGTGCGTCACGAGCTGGTGGTCCGGTCGTTTGACGTATTGCACCTGCAGGAAAAGGGAACATAGATAGATCTTAGATAGACTATCATACACCACACAAAACGGAGAAATACAAATTCGAAGCAGTCTGATTGGCGCAGATACACTATGCACGAAATCGATCGAACGGAAGCGCGAACACGCACACGAAAATATGGGCGAGGCACGGCAAAATAGTAACTGAACTGCGTGTTTACACTATCTGATTCGATTTTCACGCATTGTGTAACTGCATTATATCACTGTTAAAGTTGTGTGATGATTGATGGTTGACATTCAAACCAAATAGTGCCTTTAGAACTACTAAAAAATAAGAGCAATTGAACTCTAGAGCACAGTCTCACTAGAGATTTCTAAGAAGGGAAACTAGTTTTTAGGAAATTTCAGTCACCACTAAATAATAAGAATTAAATAAACAATTGATGACCAAAAGTATGTTTTAAAAAATAATATTAGCTTACAGTATGATTGAAATTAGTCTTGGCAGTGAACATGGCCGATTTCCTCAGCAACTCCCCACCAATGCACATCACAACTCCTAGGGCAGACACCCAGAAGTAGGTCTTCATTTCTGTAAAAATATTAAATTAATCAGCACAGAAAATTTTTCAAATACAATAGAAATTGTTCATGCAGTCACTACTGTTTTAAATCAAAAATATTTAAATAACTGATGTTTAGATATAAATACTTGTTAGTCATTATTACAGGCAATAAATAAAAAGTATGCCTTTAGTCATACATTATCAGCAAAAAAATGGACAAACCTGGAAAGAAGTAATATTCCACACCCCACTCTATCCAACTGGACACCGCTGCCACACCATACTGCACACTGTGGTTCAATATGAACGAGTCTATCGTCAAAGTCCGTGGGTTCGTAAGGGCTACCGCCATGAACTCGGAGAAATGGAACATGGATAGGACCATTGTGTACAGACCAAACACTCTGAGGCCATCTTCAAATGTGGCCATGTAGATCCCTGTAGCAAACACAGTGCCAAGGAATGCTGACCTCACCAATACCTAAAAGCAGATTGAAATATTAATTAATAATGTTTAATCACATTAGCAGATAACTGTTTTAGGACAAATATTTAAGATAGAATTATATTACAAATTACAAACTACCTTTATTATCATCTTTACACATCGAAAATTAACTAAAATTTTCAGAAAGTAATGTGCTTTATTTTAACACCTGTTTCTAATATCACTTGGTTAGCACTTTATCTCAGTTCTTACACTTAAAATGTAATTAAATATCAATCGTTAGGTTAAGAATACCTAGAATGCTACTTAAATTTTACGAAAGATGTTGTTATAGTACGTTTTAAGCCAATTATAAGAATCTTACCTCATATGTGAAGCCTTTGTAACAGTATCTCAAAATAAAGTTGAAGAGGCAGAAGTATAAGGCAGGACCCCAGTAGGTGAGGGCCCACAGCTCAGAGGTGTACCCTAGAGCACTCCCGGAGAAGAAGGAAGTCGTAAAAATCAACAGAGCGAGGAAAAAACAGAATAAAGCCTGCCTCCCTGCAGGACACACGTTCTTCAACATTATCACGTCCATTATGCTACATTGAGGTGTGGAATTTTTTGTGGGAGTGTAATTTTAAAAGTTTGATGTTATTTTGTAGTAATTTGCTCACAATTTTTTGGAAAAGTAACAAAATAACTTATATCCAGAATTCACTCAAAACAACTCCTGCCTGACATTTTTCCGTTACCTGTCATGACTGTCATTGTGACAAGTGTGTTTTTAAAATTATTGATGAGTGCAATGCAATGTGCATTCATCTATAATCTTGAGGAAGTATTTAAAATCACACTACACTTTTGAAACGTGATTTTCTATCCGAGTGTTTATGTATTTCATAAAAAGAAAATTCACTTTCTTCTCCGTTACCATGGCAACACACTCTGCTTGGATCTTTTTGACATTCTAAAAACAGTCAGTTTTCACTGTAGAAAACAAAATACTGTAACTGCGACAATTTACGCTGATTGGTTGTTACGTCCAAACAGTGTAAATTTTATTTTGCATCATATCACATGATTGGTTAGATTTTTGTGTAAAACCAATCATTCCGACTCGTAACAGACAACAGAATTGTTGTTTTCAAAATTTGTCACAGTTTTTTCGGAGACAAACCTATCAACAAACCAAACTTTAAATTGAATGTTAAATAATTATAGTGATTTATAATAATGTAGCGGTGAATATGTTAGACCGAGCTTCAAATTTCTAGTTGGTAATATATGTGCCGGCGCAAATTTTTGCCAACTGACGTAATCAGGCCGTGACTACAACGTCTTGATTAACGTGCAGGCGGCTTTCAACCAAATTAATTTCCCCTTCGAAAGGTTTTAAATCTACGCGGTGGTGGTCTGGGGAACTTTCAAAAGTGCTGTGCAATTTCCTGAGTGATGGGAGTGAGGGAGAGTTAATGTCCGCATTTACGCAGTTTTCAGTGCTATTTCGGAGGCCGGGGCGCTCGCTGGTGGAAGGCCGATGTAATTGGCGAAATGAACGACCCGTGGGACGTGAAATCCGTTCGGCAGTCGGGACAGTACGTGTCCTGTATGAGGATAAATGGAGTGCCCCTTCTGCCGCCAGTCGTAAGTTTGATTTATGATCGCTCACGGGTCACTGGGCACGTCTGTTTTAAACAATAACAGTTTATCTCCGCTCTTCCTTTAGAAAACAATACAATATCTTGAGACTGCTCATTGACCTGGTTTCATGCAGTATGCATACTAGCCTCTAATTAAGTTTCTAATTCTTAATTAAACTCTCTGTACTCTACTTTTTATGCTTTGCAGACAGAAACTGTTAATTAGTATGTATAGATCAATTATATCCACTCAAGATTACATTTATAGTCTACTTGCTGCTGTTATTGCAATCATGAAAAACATTATTATATTAATCCATGTTGAGGTGATCACCTTTGCAATATTATGTTGTTATTTTTCAGCCAGTTTGGTAAACTAAACATTTTGTGGACTTTCAGCTATCCAAAGAGTGCCGTAAAGAAATGCAGTACTACAAGCTTCTGGCCAAAGAAGTTGAGAAAAGAATATCACTACTGAAACCATACATCATAGACACTGACTCGGACTCCAGTGAAGATAAGACAGATGCCCCAGAACTCCCAGAAAATGAGCAAAGCTACGAGCTGCCCCAAGAAGAAATACAAGCCGGCTTCAATATCAACATTGACAAAATAGTAGCAGTCACAAATGAAACCACATTAGAAAAGTCAATTCTTAACTCACCACCACCCTGTTCTATAACAACAGATTTTTATAACAATATAACTTCTAATGTTACCGTCTCAAACACCATAGCAACACCCACAGTCACAAGTTCTCCAAAGAAGTTTGTAATTGATTTAAGTCTAAGTATTAATGAAACCGGTAGGAATGTTCTAGAAACTTTGAAGAAAAGTCCCCAGCATTCCTCACCTCCAATTGATCTACCAGAAAGAGACTATGATAGCCCTAAAAATGTTACTCAGAAAGAAGTTCTGACTGATGTGGAGTCCTGCAAAAAGAGTTCTAAACAACAAAACAAGACAGATGACATTGTTAACTTTAGTTTTAGCATTGATAAAGACATCCTCTCAGACCCATTCCCTGACCTTTCTATAAATCAAGATGGACCATCATCCCTCAGTTCCAAAAGCTTTACTGGCTCCCTCATAGACATACACACTGAAAGCATGAAAGAATCTCAAATAGGCCCCCAGTTAATAAGGCAAAGATCTTACACTCTCCTAAAACCAAGTCCCCAGCTTTTAGCTCACCTCGAGGTGCAGTCAATGAATACAGGCATAGACATGAGCTGCATTTCCATGAGCGAGTCATTCTCCAATCTAAGCTCCCCAGGCAAAAAACGTCGAAGCTGGGACTTAGAATCAGCCAAAGTGAAATGGTCTTCAATGGCCTTAGAACTCAACCAGAAGAATGTAATAAATGCGGCAAAAGTAAATGGCGTTAATAAAACAAACGTCGCCAAACCCATTCCAAAGAAAACTCAACAACCATCACCACAGAGGTCTCGATCTGTAGTGCAAGAGAAGACTCGGCGTCCTAACATGCCCACAAAACCTATCCCCAAATCTGAACCTATCCAAAAACAGCCTCCCAGAAAATCCTTTAGCCCCGTAAGAAATGTTCCCACCACGCGTGCAGTTCCCATCAAGGAACCGGTATCTACCAAAACGCCCAACTCGAGTCAAGAATCTGTAGCTTCAAAACCGTCAACGATACCTATTTCCGAATCCGAGGATCCCGCCGCACGAGTTAGGGAGTTATACGAGAAAATACAAAAGCAGCAGCTAATACAGATGGCTAACCTGGTAGAGAAGCAGAAAAAAGAACAGCAACTTCTGCAGCAAGTGTTTGAGGAACAAAACAATATTTTGTACAAGCAGCTTAAAACAATATGCCCAAAGTCGCCAGTAGAAGCGAAAGAAGCCTGGGCCGACAAGAACAATGACCGCGCCGACAGGGGGCCGGTCAGCTTGAGCCAGCTCATCAACCACAAGACACCGGAGTCGAGTGGATTTGACAGTCCAGTGTCGGTCACTTTGACCGAAACTAACAATTACATTAACCATTGCGATGACGTATTGAAACGGAGCAAGGACATAACTAGCAATATAAAGAAGCAGCAACCAATAGCCAGGCCTCAGAACGGTGCTAAAACTTCGTCACCGAGAATAAAAACTGATGGCAGCAGAACTAGGACCCATTCGCCTACTAGCAGGAACACTTCTAGACGGCTCAATTACGACACGAGCGCTTCTTCCGAGCGTGACTTCGAGCCTTTGTTGACCGATCGAACGAACGACACGATGGCTGACCTGAACGTCACCTTCCCTTCCGACCACAGCGAGGACGGTCACTCCATTCACAATGGAACCGTGATCAACAAAGATATTACCGTCGTCCACCGGGCGCCTCTGTCCGCCGGGTCGGGGCACCACAGCAGGACCCCCGACGTGACCCTGAGGAGCTTAGAGGAGCCCCTGCAGACTCCGATGAGCATTTGCCGCCGCCCCATGAAGCAGTTCGTTTCCCAACCTACTGCTGAGCAGGTAACTCCATTTATTAGCAATTTTAAAATGTTTTGTTATCTGTGATTAACTGTCGCGGTTTTGTTGCACTTTTATGTTGTTGTATTATTTATGATTCTTCCCGTTTTTAAATTTTCCTTTCACTATCCTTCTGTCTTTTATCACAACGGTTACTTTCGCGGGTTTTTCTGTCACTATATTTTTCCTCAATACTGCTAGCTTGGATATGGGATGAATATTGTTTTCCATGAAGGCGTGTGTACTGTGTATAGATGTACAGGATTTTCTGTGGTACAGGGTTATACACTATCTATCACCGAGTCATATTTCCGTTCAAGTTGAATCATGAGTAATCCCATGTAAAGCCCACTTGATCCTACAGTCGACTTGATGTGAAATTTTTCGCTGTCCGCCACAGCCTCATTTTTTTTCACGTCAATAAAAGGAAAATTTCTTCCTGACACCTTCCGGAGGTTCCTTCTTACTTTGACCTTCCATCCACAATTTTATGTACCAAAATGAACCGTCTTGGATTGTAGCGAGCGGCGTCTACCAAAGTTACTTTCGCAACAGGCTATCTGGTGCGGAAGCGACTCCGCACGTCTGCCTATCTTTATTATACTGTAGTTAGTTTTTTGCAAATCAAAATATAAAAGAGGCATTTTTATTGTAATTCCTTGCTGATTCTTCCATCCACAATTTTATGTATGACTATGTACCAAAAATGAACCGGTACTTGGGTTGTAGCGAGCGGCGGCTACCAAAATGGTGGCTATCGCAACAGATTACCTGGTGCGGAGGCGGCTCCGCACGTTTGCCTATCTTTACTATACTGTATTTACATTTTTTGCAAATCAAGATGAGGCATTTTTATTGTTATTCCTTGCTGATCGTTCCATCCACAATTTTATGTATGACTATGTACCAAAAATGAACCGCCACTTGGGTTGTAGCGAGCGGCGGCGTCCAAAATAGTGGCTTTCGCGAAAGGCTACCTGGTGCGGAGGCGGCTCCGCACGTCTGCCTATGTTTGTATTCTATTTAGTTTTTTGCAAATCAAGATGAGGCATTTTTATTGTAATTCCTTGCTGATCCTTCTATCCACAATTTTATGTATGAATATGTACCAAAATGAACCGCCACTTGGGTTGTAGCGACCTTCCATCCACAATTTTATGTACAACAAATATGAACCGTCACTTAGGTTGTAGCGAGCGGCGGCTACCAAAATAGTGGCTATCGCAACAGATTACCTGGTGCGGAGGCGGCTCCGCACGTTTGCCTATCTTTACTATACTGTATTTACATTTTTGCAAATCAAGATGAGGCATTTTTATTGTTATTCCTTGCTGATCCTTCCATCCACAATTTTATGTATGACTATGTACCAAAAATGAACCGCCACTTGGGTTGTAGCGAGCGGCGTCTACCAAACTTACTTTCGCAACAGGCTATCTGGTGCGGAGGCGGCTCCGCACGTCTGCTTATCTTTACTATACTGTATTTAGTTTTTTGCAATTCAAGATATCAGGCATTTTATTCCAATTCCTTGCCGATCCTTCCATCCACAATTTTATGTACAACAAATATGAACCGTCACTTGGGTTGTAGCGAGCGGCGGCGACCAAAATAGTGGCATTCGCGAAAGGCTACCTAGTCCGGAGCTGCTGAATCTGTTCTGCCTATTTTTACTATACCTACTCTATTTAGTTTTTTTGCAAATCAAGATATAAGAGGCATTTTATTCCAATTCCTTGCTGGTCTTTCCATCCACAATTTTATGTACAACAAATATGAACCGTCACTTGGGTTG